AAAAATAAGCATGTTTGTATGCATGTATATAGGGGTGTCACTTTTGCGTTCCTTTCCTAGAAGCGGAAACACGACATGCATTTCCGTTACTAATGTCGGAGCGAGACTTTAAGATACTCGGTTAAAAATTGCATAACTCGAGAACGCAAGCAACTAGCGATCTGTAGTTTTCAGCAATCGAAAGAGGCTGTGTCTTCATATAATGTTATACAAGATAAAATTGTCACCAAGCCAAGCATTTTTGTAAATCTTTCCAACAAGCGTATAGCAATGCAATGCAGTCCCAATAAAATTTTGAGTTTAACATGCATGTTAGACAGAGAAACTTCAGATCTTTAGCTCAAGACACAATGCGACTGATTATCTTGTCATATTCTAACGTTCAACTAATTAATTCATGCATTTGCTTGCTAAAATAATAAGGAATCGTGGGGATTTTGTAACCAGATTTTCTTACTTTTCATCAGAATGGCTTATCGTTCTGATGAAAGTTCGATAAAAAGTGAGAAATTTTGGTTAAAAATCTACACAATTCCTTATTATTTTAGCAAGCAAATACATGAATTAATTAGCTGAACGTTAGAATATGACAAGATAATCAGTCGCATTGTGTCTTGAGCTAAATATCTGAAGTCTCTCTGTCTAACATGCATGTTAAACTCAAAATTTTATTGGGACTACATTGTATTACTATATGTTTGTTGGAAAGATTTACAAAAATGATTGGCTTGGTAACAATTTCATCTTGCATAACATTACATAAAAACACGTCCCTACACTGCCCCTTTTGAATGTTGAAAACCGCAGATCGCTAGCTGCTTGAGCTCTCGAGTTATTCAATTTTTAACCGAATACCTTTAAGTCTCGCTCGGACATTAATAACAAAACCTTTCCGAGTTCATCGAACGAAAGATAATTTTCTAAAAACTACGATTTTTTTTTATAAACTGTGGCCGAAGATACTCGAGGTCGAAGAATCCGAATCTGTGCAAGATAGGAACAACGAAAGGAGATCTAGAAATTCCAATAATAAATTATTCTCGTTAAGACTTGTCTCTGAGCAAAAGTGAGAGTCGAAATTCGAAAATAAATTTCCCTAAAGAGAACCGATACATTGAATATTTAAAGAAAGTCGTAAAAATACAGTATAAAAGTGTTTTGGAGTTGTACTTGTCAAGGTAGAAGTCATTGAATTGTTTCTTTTTATGTAAATAGATTTGAGAAAGGCTTGATATTAGTTTACGGAAGAATTTGTTCTTGAATTTATGAATTTTCTAGCCTCTGAAATAAACAAAATAGAAGATTGATGAGAGCTTTTGTAACTAAATTTTATGAGAATAATATTAGAGACACGGATTTTTTTTCGAAGAATCAAATGGATGTCCCTTTAGAAATATTCGATTTTAAAGCTAATGTAACATTTGCAAAGATCAATATTGAAAGATTCTAATAAATAAGATTATTCTAATAAATTTTATTTCAATAGAAAAATACAATACAATGATAATTGAATTATCAAAATATAAAGAACGTGATATATTACAAATAAATGAACTTGTTAATCTACGGTAATCAACTGTCTTCTTAGAATGAGTATATTTGAAGTTTAAGTTTGAATTAAAATTCTTAAATATTTTTTTAAATTTATTATTAGGAAAACCTTAATTTACAAGTTGAAATTGATTCATTACGTTCGAAAATAATTGAAGAAGAATTATAACATCAAAATTACAAGAACAATTTCGTGTCGTAAAGCTTAAGCATCTTGGAACACAAAATTCAACTGATGATGATATTAAGCACGACAAACAAGAAATTATTAAAGGTATTTATTTATGTTATATTTTTTCAAAGAAAAATAGAGTGAGTGTAAGTTTTAAGTTGAGGCTTTGCATTGGGGAAGGGTCAACGATTATTGGTTACGTGTCCCTAGTAACCCAGGATAACAAGCGCCAGTAGAGTCCGTCGAATTGGTCTCCGACTGGAGGAGCTTCAGTCCTCTGAGAAATGTGTAGAATACGCTTGTCACCGAATACAGAAACCTGAAGAAAGTTATCTCATACTTTCGGTGCGACAATCCAATTTTGATTAGAAAATTTCATTGATGATCTGGATCCAAAAATTGTGGACCTGTCCGTCTCTAAGAGTCAGATTCCTTTTCCAGAGTTCTTTGGCAACGAAAAAAGCACCGAAAGGCATTAGTAATAAGACTTAGACTGTTCGAGAACATTCGAAATAAGATCTTCTATATATTATTGACGAAGGTTAAATATATATTGATTCTATGAGTAAAAGCGATAAAAAATGTCTTGAAGTGCAAGGAAAGAAAACAAAACAAGTTTCATATTATTCAAAGAGAAATTCGATAGATATAATTTCCAATAAAGATATTCCTGTTAACCATTCGAAATAAAACGAGAAGAATTATACAATTATAGTTATTGTTCAAAATATAGATTATGTTGATGTTATGTGAAATTTCAATGACCAAAGTACAATCAGGAAAGGTTACGGTAAACCCTAGTATTGATTCATTGATTTGGCATAGCAGTCGTATGATCAATATAAAAAATATGAACTGATCACGTGTTATGATTCTTTAGAAAATAATCAATATTAGTATTTTTTGAGCTTATGGAGATATGTAATAGCGTGTTGACACCTTCTGTAAATATAATGATTATGTATAACAGGGTTATTTACCAATTAAATTATTGGTTAGAATAATAATAATGTTAAATTAAGCAAAACGGAATATGAAAATGAAAAATAACGAGTGAATAGTGGTAAGGCAAAGAATACATGTGAATTCCATATATTAACCTCCAAGAGATTACACTGACAAGTTTGTTTTTTATTTCTTTTGTTAAATTCTTCGTTTTTCTTAGATCTTGAAAGAACCTTAAACACTCAACGTTTATCATTAGAACATTCAAATGAAGAATTAATTCATACATGATCATGAATTATTAAAACAATCAAATAAACAAATTATTGAACAAATGAAAACCGATAATTAACATCGAATACAATATGATAAAGATTTAAAACAATTACCACGGCAATTAGATAATTCATTAAATAAAGAATTAAGTACGATTAATAACGAATGTGAAAATATAAAAATTGAAGGTTTGAATTTGATTTTAATCGGAATATATATATATAAGGCAAAACAGGACATAGCCACCTTTAATTCTTTACAAGAATTATTTTTCTGAATAAATTTTTTTAGTATAGACATCTTAAAAAAAGTCTAAAAACATCAGAATCAATTTTACGATATGAACCACATCTATGGTGAAATCTTGAGTAATATCGTATTCCGAAAAAGCAGTTTTCTAGAGATCTTGTCATGTTCCGAAACCAAAATTTTTGTCTTACCATCATCTAGAGATTGTGAAGAAAAGATTTTTACCATTTGAATTTGGTTTTGAGAAGTTCTCATTCGATTAGTAGTATATTTTTGCATTGATATATTCATACTCTGTCACGTCACTACAGAAAAATCGATTTTTTTGAGAAAAAAACTGAGAAAAGACTTTGACTAGAGATTTTGTAGTCTACATGAAGCCAGGTCACTAACGAAAATTTCTTTATTGTTCCCCATTTAGTTGAAAATAAATTGTCTGTCCTTTATCGAACACAAATAAATGAATTAAAAAATGAAATCAATCAATTAACAAATAAATTAAGTTAAGTAATTAATCAACAAAAATATTTTGAAAAAGAAAAAGTAAACATATTTACATTTGATACCAACATTTTTTTTGAAAATATTTTATTGTTTGTTTCTTTTTTCAGAGACAATATTTCAAAACAATTTGAAATAGCTAATGTTAAATAAAAACACTGAAAGTTTTAATTTAATTTTATTACGAAAACAGTATGCAGAATTAGAAAAAGAAAAAAAATAGGTTAGTTTTATTTTGTTTTTTCTTTCGAAACTATTCATTTGAATCAATCATAAACTTTATACTAAGCAATAAATTAGCCTGAGAAGAATTCTGTTTGATGAATTTTGTCTAGAAAATAATATGGAATTTCATTTTTTTACTAAATTAAAGATTATAAATAAACTACAGTAGTTTTTGGATATATATAAACATTAAGCATTCGTATTAATTGACTAATGAGGAGATGGCAATTGATTTTTGTATTGAGTCAATCTGTGCCATGTA